CGCCTATAATTTTTTTTCTAGTGTTTCCTCAATTAATATATAGAGGATGGTTATATTATATTAAAATATTTATTTTGTTGAAAGTTTAAATAAATCTAGTTAAATTTAATTTTGAGAGCTGCCAAAATTAATTATTGAGTAGAAATCTTAAATGACATAATATGAATTTTCACAAATTCTAAATATAAGTTAGTAGTCAACCATGATGGATTATTTTGAACCAAAGCCCAAATTAGTATTAAAATACTTACTATCTTAATAAACCATCTTATATTTTATGTAGATTCATCATTTTTTTAGAAATAGCAAGTATGCACCAAATTTACAAGGTCGCATTTTACTACCAAGACCAAAACTGTATAATCTCTTTTGTGCATCAAAGTTGTAAGCTCCTGTTTTGACGTTGTAACTGGAAAAAAACAACAACAAAAAACATTTTTCCTTTCTCATTCTTTTCTGCATACACATCATCTCTTTTCTCATGTATCAATATCATCGTTACATGACCCGAAATGTATATACCCACAGTTTACATAAATTTTTTGCTATAAATCATCCACAAACAGACTAGTTATATATTATTTTTCAAAAAAACAAAAACAAACTAGTTATAGAAGCCTCGGAGAAATTCACAATCCAATTTTCATTAATGTACATGAGTATCTCTAAACCTCTCTACATGACCATTTAGCACACACGTGCAAATATTTCAATATAAAAAGTTTCAAGAAAATACATTTAAATCTGGAGCACTTCTAGCGACCTTAATGAAAACATCTTCAAGAGTTGTGTCCGCAAGTCCCCAAGCAAACACCTTGAAACTGCTCTTTGCCTTCTCCACCGCTTGAAACACTTCCGAGATTCGAACTTGTTCTTTCGGGATCTCAAATTTTTGTGTCCCTCCTATATGATAAATCTTCTTGGCGTTTGGAGAAAAATCTTGAACCAACATCTGCACATCCTGCGCATGTTCAGATGAGGTTGTCATCGTAAACACATAAGATCCACCATACCTTCCCTTGAGCTCTTTTGGATTCCCTATGCACTTTAACCTTCCATCTACAAAAATCCCCAATCGGTCACATAGAAACTCTGCTTCTTCCATTGAATGAGTTGTGAGGATTATCGCAGCGTGTTTTTTCGCTTGTTTGATGACAGTCCATAGATTCATTCTTGACGCTGGATCGAGTCCTGTGCTTGGCTCATCCATATAAACCACCTTTAAGAAAAGAAAAAAACCATTCGATGAAAACTATGGAAATCCAAATACGTTTATTAGTCTATCAAGAGAAGGGTAAGAAACAATGCCGTACGTGTACTAACCTTAGGACTCCCGATAAGTGAAATGGCTACACTTAGCCGCCTTTTCATACCTCCGCTGTATTTTCCAGCAGGTTTATCAGCAACTCCATCGCGAAATAGGTTCACACTCTTAAGAGACTCTTCTACAGCCTAATATCCATGAAATTGATACTTTAGGAAGCATAATACAAAAGCTAGAGAAGTAATAATATGCTGGTAACATATAGTACTTGGGTGAGATCAGAGCCTTTGAGATTCTTAAGTCTCCCGTAAAACAGCAGATGGTCTCTTCCTGTCAGCGTCTCCCAGAGCAAGCTGGTACACAAACAGACAATTTGAGAATGATGAACAACTAGAGACATGTGTTCTTTAGTAAAACATTTTCAAGATTCTAATTAATTACTCGTGCTGAGGGCATACACCCATGCTAGTGTATGCTCTGTCCATATTCTTGCATATGTCCAAACCTCGAACGAAAGCTGCCCCAGATGTTGGTTTCACTAGCCCAGTCATCTGACCATAAAATAATAGTCAGGAGTATGCTTAAAAAAAAAGAGTTTTTCAATCACAAAAATATTTACTTTGAAATTTGGGTACTGACTATATTGATGAAGGAGGTCTTTCCAGCACCATTGGGCCCTAACACGCCAAAGCATTCTCCCGATGGCACAGCGATAGATAACCCTTGAACTGCCGTTTTAGGTTGGTTCCCATCCCTACCAGGATACACCTTCTTCAAGTTATCACATACAATCGCATATCTTGTGCTCGGCTCAGGCATCAATTGCTCAACTTTTTCTCTCTGATTGACACAAATTTTTCCATTTTCATCAGGATTGCTAGAAAAATGCAAAGAACATGTACTACTATATTGGTTTTTTGTCATACCTCTTGAGTGACATCTATGTTCTCCATTTCTATGGAAACGGCAGAGCCTTGTTTTTGCAGGCTATGCCTTTGTGTAGAAGTAGATTTTTTGAAAGGTGTTTTCAAGAATAAAAAAGAGTCTTTCAATGATAAAGAACCTCGATCAATATAGTAAGTTGCAATGAGTGCGAGAAACCACTCGACGATTATAATGTAGAAAACTTCATCCATTCCACTAGCACTGAAATCTTTCCACTTCATACCATCCCTTCTACCCTGACTGACAAACTCAGAGAACTCATACAAACCACGGTATAAGGAGAAGCCAGGATACAACTCCATTATAAAAATCCAGCATCCTGGTACATAAAGGTAAATATAGCATTTGCGATATCAGTTTTGAGAATACGTGTTGTTCAAGTTGTTCTTGATAGCTTACTTGGAAACGATAAATCTTCCATCAGAAACTGGAAGAGAAACGTGCCCAAGAGCCCAGATCCAAAGACGTATATGTAAGTAGCAACTACAGTATTGGGCATAAAAAACAGAAACCGTTTCTTTTAACACCAACAATATTGTTCTCAAGCAAAGTTGAAAAAGTTTTTGACTTTGGTATTACCTGATGCTGTCTCAACTTTTGAAAATGCTGAAGAAACTAAAAAGGCAATGGAGATTTGCAGATTTATGCAGAGAAAATAGAAAATGAATTGGATGCTGTAGTCATTAACTCGGAAGAACTTCAAGCCTGCAAGGAACTATAGCTGCTAGAGAAGGAATCTTGTTCTATATGTACAAGAAATTAAGAAGATAAAATATGGCAACGATACAGTACCTATTGCTGATCCAAATATCATCAAGCATATAACGTATATCGTGGAAATGGCGAGAAAATAGGCGTAGGAAATCATCCAATATGGACCATCTCCGAGTCCGTGCATCTTCATTATAATTCTTAGACGCTTCTGTTTCTCATACACCAATGATGACAAGATCACCTGCAAATTAAATGCATGTAACTATTTAAAAAATATCACATGATATAAGAAACTGAAGCAGTCCACTCAATATGAAACTTACAGGGAACAAAAGAAGAATAACCCAAGTAAAGAAAAGGGGGCCAGTAAGAGACGCCACGTCCACATGAAGCGTAGTTTCTAGTTTAGGCATTTCTTTGACAAACTCGAATAACGACTTTGTCCCTGGCCCTAGCAAATACTGAAGATAAGCATTCGACACCTGAAATGTTCCTCAGTGTCTTAAGAATGGGGTTTGATCAAGAGGCATCCCCTAGGTATAAAAAAACTTTGAGGATGTCTTGCATAAAAAACTTGGTTTCTTACTAAATTGACTAAGCGTGGAACTCGGACAAGCTTTACATATCTCTCTAATAACTTGGTCTTGTATGTAGAGTTGTACCATATGGTCACATTGAAGTTGTTCCTATCAGTGTCCAAGAGATCGTATGCTAATGAAATCAACAAGGGAAAATATAGAGAGAAAGAGTCAGAAACTGAATATGTAGTAAAAACACAGACAAAACAAGTGTATGTAGTTCTAACACTGCTTGGGAGGGAATTATTTTTCACGAGCTAGACCCGGCCAATGTAGACTACCGGGCCACAGCATTCTGAAACTTCCTCGAAAAAAAGCACACACAATCAAATGAAAGAGAAATGGAATAATAACCTGCGGTGACCTCATTGATAACTTCCTCATGATTTCCTTTCTGATATCCCTTGAATATCTCATGATTGACCTCTATGGATTTATTCCGCCAGAGACTCAATCCTTGAACGCATCTCACCTCTACTTAGACACAACCATTAAGTTAATCGACACAAACTTGGAACATCTTAATTAAAACATGTATGAAACTTATAATAAGTATACCTTTCTGAAACGTAAGTGGAGATTGTCCGAATGAGAATGAAAATGTGGTTCTTGGAGGGCATTGAGGTTGGATGTTGATGATCGGAAGCTGTGAGTGAATCCCTGGATCAAAATAACTGGTGAAGCTTGGCTCTGATGTTGTACCCTGA